ATTTCATGTTGATAATACTCAACATTCAGACGATTTGAATGCTTATTAAATGTGTTGTAAGTAATTTGCTCATTAAATGAAAGGTCGCGAATGACATTCCAGAAAACTCAAAATGTGAAATTCCAACAAGACGGATAGGAACTGAAATGAAAGTTACAACATATCAGCTCTGTTAGTGAATAGTACCAATTATATGCAGTCTTTTATTATCTTAGTTAGTAATAACTGTTCCACATAAGGTTTAGACTTTTCAGCACTGTAGGTTTGGTGATTTTTAAGGGATTATTCTTTGATGTTCATGACGCGGACACGAGCTCATGAGGATTATAGACAAGCATTTCGCAATTGTACAGACCTCCTTACTAAATATTTCGGGAAAAATCAGTATGCTGCAGCCCGATTACCGGACAACGAGACGCGGCTTTTCATTTAATGAGCCATTAACTTAGACCATAATATATCAAAATTATTCAAATTGTTTGAATGTTGAGTTTCATCAGTGGTTAGATTTTGTGCAAATAAAGTACAACTGGTAGCACACTTGAAGTAAGAGTGCACAATTATTCAACGGACTATATGTATTTATACATTTTTATTTAATTTGCACAGGTCTCCAAACGCATTCTTTATAGTTGCTAAATTAAAAAAAATGTTTAAATGCATATCAAATTTACAGAATAATCTATTTAAACAAATCTGACCATGTGCATACCTACACCGACGGACTTTCAAGTCATGTTCACGCTCTGAAAGAACTGACCAAGAAGGTCTGTAAGTAAAGTGTCTCCTCGACACACTGATGGACAGAGGTGGGCAGTAGCGCGCTACATGTAGCGGCCGCTACATTTTCAGTAGCGGTAGCGGTGCTACATTTAAGCAATTGTAGCGGTAGCGGTAGCGCCCGCTACATTTAGAGCATGTAGCGGTAGCGGCCGCTACATTTCAAAGTAGCGCTGCCCAGCTCTGCTGATGGAATATATCACGGCGCCGAGAGCGCTGAGTTGACGTCAGTAACCGAAGGGAAAGTGACATGCCTACATTAAATTGTACGATAATTACTCAAGATATCCAGACTGCATGACATTCATGTGTTATGGGCAGTGATTCGTTCACCACAGTCCTGATCAACAGTGATGTATACGGCACAATAATAAAAGGAAAATTTTCGGAGCTAGAATCATGAAAATTAGAAGGCTTCTCGTGAATAAATGCGGAATTGAATATTATTTTTACATCGCAAAAACACGGTTCAACGTTTAAAAAACCTACCATTCACAAAAAAATATTCAACAATATGAAGACAATAAACTTTTAGCAGCACGTCGGCTAAAATTTTTGCAAGTTAAGTAACATGAAGCGTCACAGTCCGAAACCTCGGCCATTCATTTACAGTTGAGTTGCAGCGCATCATCTACACTTAAGCATAACACAAATCATTAGAAGCGCTCTTCAGAATTTCTAACATTTACGAGCGACGCTGGCTTGTAAAGTCATTTATGGTTATTACACAATAGATAAAAACATGCCGCAAAATCATTATGAGGAATTCGAAGGTTAAATAAGCGATTGGCGCAAAAAAATAGAACGTCTCACGCTCTGCCGAGCGTATCGACAGCGAGAGGCGAGGGCGTTGTCGTTGATCTGAACAACCAGGTTGTTGGAGCATCACCTCCAGACAAATTACGTAAAAATAACGTTGAATGAGAATCGATTTTTTAAACCAAATAATCTTATAACGTTTTAAACAACGTTTAGTAGGCGTTATTTTAAGGTCAGATGGTGGGTGGCTCAGGCTGCTGTGTAAGACGGGCCTGGCTCGGTGTAAAGAACTGCAAATGGGCTCGACTGAAGGGCGGAAACCGGGGTGAGGAACAGGAACATATTTTTTGATATCGCTGTAAAAACACAATTGATACATACAATGATAATACGATGGACAGTTATGGGACACACGCATGTGCAGCGAGACTAACAACGGAAACGTGAAGAATTTTAGGATGAAGATGTTAATTGCGGTGGATCGAAGTGGTAAAAAGTTGTTGCACACTAGTACGAACAATTCGAGAAGAAACCAGGAGAATCATACAAGACATAATAAACACACGGAAACCATCACGGAGGAATGAATAAACAAATAAGACTGAGCTGGATGAGCAAAAGCCTGATTATTTTTGAGCGATGAAAATAACGATGATATAAAAAATGTACGATGCCGAACGCTGCATAGACCGTCAGAGCTGACATAATAAATTATAACCTAATCCCATCTTTGCCAACCAATTCGTCAGCCAGTGAAGATCTATTCGGTTTTAACATAATTTAGCTCCAGATGTGGCCGCGGGCATCGCAAATAATATAAATAGAACATATATCAAGGACACAGTCAGAAATGGATGCATCGACGGCCGGGTGCCTCAGGATGCAGCTGCAAGGGGAGCGTATCTTCGCGGTCATTCCATACAAAAAATATAACTCAGTACTCACTGCAGTGAGTGACAGAGTGCGCATTTTCTGGTCGACGAAAACGTGGTCACGGACGGACAGACGGACGGACGGACAGACAGACAGACGGACGGACATGACGAGCACAATAGCGCCTTTTTTTCATTAATGAGAAAATGCGCTAAAAAAGTGAATACAAGTAGCTCCTGCAGGCATTTTTCGATGTAAAAATATTATAGAAGATACATATCAGAGCATAAAGTTTTAAAGTCAAGGACAGTCTTACATCTTTCCGTTTACATTCGAAAGCAGCTTTCGAACGATTGAGACATATTGACCAAAATAAAGCAGGAGCATCAAAGCGTCAATGCGTTGAAGATGTCTAGACAGTCTCTTTGCGCGGCGTTCCGAACTTGGCATTACTTCGCTGGTCCAGACAAGAGATCTCCAGTCTGCTGCTCGCACATGGAGCGGTCGCGGTCAAGGCTGCTTGCTCGTGTTGTCACGATCACTCGCGGCAACAAAGAAAATACGAATTACTGAACCAGAGATTGAAATCTTTCCGAAAATCTAGGTTACGATACAGCTAGTGAAATTCGATTATCAATGTATTCACTTCGCGAAGATAACTAGTACCCTAAATTAGTCTTCTATAGAAACTTTAATAGAAGTAATGGGTTTCCCAAAGATTGAATATTCTTCTCTGTTAAGAAGAAGCAATTATGCAGCACTGCAAAATTAAAAATAAATTGGAAAACCGACCCATTAACGCAAGACGATCGATCACGCATTTATCACTGCATGGACGACAAAGGCCAGCACAGCTGAGGCAATGAACGTCCTAAACTAACAAAGCTCGTATGCAACTCACGGCGCATTGTATTGCAAGCATTCACCATTGTAATAGTGAAGAAATAACGATGGCTGGACATGTGCAGATGTGCACTGCATCTCCAGACGACGATTGCAACACAAGGGTCCAGATTAGCATGGATCAGATACGACAACATTTGAAGGTCAAACTGGAACGAAAACATGACGATCCATTTATAGTTTTCAGTAAAACAAAAATTCTAGCAGAATTTAGATCGAGCTTATAATACAGCATAAATGTGTCTGTCTCAAGAAAATTTTAAGCGGCAAGCACATAAGATGAAAATTCGTCGATGCATTGATTTCATGTCAAGAAATGCGACGTTTCCCTCGATACATCGACCGGTAACAGTTTTGAATCGGACTTTACTGTGTCAGGTGACAGGCTTAGAACCAAAAGTAGGAAGAATTACCCATTGCAATAGTATTTCTTTATGTAGACATTATCAAATGTGAAGATAACATTCCAGGTTATGCCCCATACAAGCTTTATCAATTTGAGTAATACATTTCCAGGCATCAAACGAAATCCGACGCTGATTTAAAGGCATCTAACGAAATCCTACGTGAATTTTCCGACATCAACGGAATTCAACATGGATTACCCGGCATCAAACAGAATCCTACGCGGATTTCCAAGCATAAAAAGAAATCCTACGTGGATTTACAGTCATTAAAACGAAATCATACGCGGATTTCCAGTCTTCAAACGAAATCCTACGTACATTAACGGGCATCAAACGAAATGTTACGCGGGTTTCCAGGCATCAAACGAAATCCAAAGCTAGATCTGAAGAGGCGACGTCATTTATAGGCAGATGAAGTGGACCGCGCATGCGTAGGATCGCTTCAGCTTGAGATACTCGGCTATACGAGCAGATGCGGGCACCTTACTTCATCATGCGCAAATTATACATGTGCGAAACGCAAGTATAATTTTATCAAACTTCAATTAAGTTATTTTTCTGGATGCACGGTGAATGCTGCCCATATAGCATTGAAGTATTTCATCGAAGGTAGGAATCGTATCGAGCGATCATACAATCAATGACTTATCGCATTAACGAAATGTTCAGAATACCAATACTAATTAAGAAGTCTCTTTGGATGTTATAATGGCATCTGGGTCTATTAAATGAATGTTAATAATTTTTCAGTTCACTTGTACATGTCCGAAGACAACATTTGCTCAATTTAAATAAGATTACGGCTTAACGAAGAATCACGTGCAATGAATCCGTATTACTGAACTTAATATTTGTACTCTCGATTTTAACTACAATTATTATTCATCATCCAACTTATTTCCTGATTAAAATTTTTAACAGACAATAACGCGTGATGACCCGAACGCATAGTGAATAAAAAATATACCGTTACTCAGTACTCACTGCAGTGAGTGACAGAGCGTGCATTTTCTCGTCGACGAAAACGTGAAGTCACGTACGGACGGACGGACATGGCGAGCACAATAGTGCATTTTTCCCATAAATGAGAAAATGCGCTAAAAAGAGGCAGCGGAGACTTGCCACTCTGGGGTCTGGCAGGGGTCTGGACGTGGCGTAAGCCTCTTGTACTCACCACTCTGGGGTCTGGCAGGGGTCTGGACGTGGCGTAAGCCTCTTGTACTCACCACTCTGGGGTCTGGCAGGGGTCTGGACGTGGCTTAAGCCTCTTGTACTCACCACTCTGGGGTCTGGCAGGGGTCTGGACGTGGCGTAAGCTGTGTTCTTGTCTGATGCTCTGCATTAAAGTCTCCATGGGAGTGGACTGGCGGCTCCTCGGAGCCAGTCGTCGCTCCGACGCCTGAAAAATAACACAAAAGATCCCTTAATTAACTCTTTTATTTGCAGCATGTTAACTTAAACAAAGCATTACTGACTAATTAAAAAATTATTACTTTCAGAACCTATGGTGTACCTTCGATAATCATTTTGAGTAACAGTGAAGGTTTGCCGACTGATGATGAAGGCAAGGACTGTAGATGATTAAGAGAAATTTTTAACGTGATTTTTTCATAGACACACAGAATTATTCCCGATAATATTCACCTATAAGCAAGAATGGCAACCACTTCTGCCAAAAGTTCTTAAAGATGCACTGATATCGAATGCACTGATGTGGACCGCACATAAATTGAATGTTTAACTTTCGTCAGACAGCATAGTTGTACAACGTTACAATTATAATTATATAGTTTAGCAAGAGTTAAAGTGGTTTACCAATCATAATTATAGTTTAGCAAGAGTTAAAGTATTTTATCAATCATAATTCTAGTTTAGCAAGAGTTAAAGTAGTTTACTAATCATAATTATAGTTTAGCAAGAGTTAAAGTAGTTTATCAATCACCATTATAGTTTAGCAAAAGTTAGAACAAGCGACATTAGTTTCCCACCTTCTTTAAGGGCGGGCGCGAGCGAATAAAGTCCAGGATGATGGAGTGAGCATCTTTCTTGACGCGCTGAGGCATGTCGCCGTTGACCATCACCTTGTTGAGGGTATATCTGGCGGGGCGAGGGTCGAGGGGAGAAGAAGGGGAGAGGGCAAGGAAACTTTCAATGACGGGGAAATACTTCGGAGAAATTAAACTAGGTAAAAAAACTCACTCATAAAAAATATCAAATTAAATAAACTGAAAATAATTGGTCATAAGGCAACATTGCAAATAAGGGTGGAAATGATGGAGACTCCATAAAGCGAAGTAAATTCTTTAAAATAACAAACCCCTTCACATCATCGACGTAAAATTCATGCAGCGATATAATACAAGCGAATGTATGATATTATCTCGTCATTAATTTGAATCTATTTCAAATTAATGACGCCGTCCAGCCTTATAACAAGAATTTCAAAGAAATGCAACAAACTTCAGTGTAATGAGCAACAAAAGAAGTCACATGCCAACATCTGGAGAGATTTCAATTAAAACGGACTGAACAGGACTCAGCCGATCAGGCTGAGGACTCAGATGGCTGCAAAAACGGCCTAACAGGACTCAGATGGGTACAAGAAAGTTTCTTTCTCTTCGTGATCTGGACGTGACGTATCGGAGGACAGTGGCTTGGTCTGAACTGAATGAAGTACCTGAATTTTGGCACACCAAAACTTGGGATAGTTTAGCTTAGCATAGAACCCAGCAAAATAAACTTGAAGAAGAAGCCGTTGAATTAAATCCTTTCTGAGAGAATTTCACAGGACTATAGACCAGCAGAGTTCCTTTAAATTAGGAACGTTAAAAAATAACGCAGAAATTTAAAACATCAAAGATCAGAAAGTATTAAATTGTATTGATCCTTGTTTAAATCCTGAGTTTATTCTAGTGTGAATTATTGTAAATGTGCAAAATTTCACTTATCCATTATTACAGGGAGAAATAAGCGATGCGGACCGTCTCTGAGTTAGCGGCAGGCGTGAAATAAATCATTTTCCTTGATTGGTTTCCAACATTTCCTTCAAATAAAGTCAAGAAGAAGTTAAGCCTCAAACAGAAAAAATATCCCTGTTAGTTCAAACATCAAGCGTAAACAATTATGGAAACAATGTAATAAAAATCAAACTATGGATGAATGAGAAAGATTTGAGGTGGGCAAACCAAGTCCATACTAAAACAAATTAAAGATTGGTAACCAACGCATGCCAGATTGCAAAGATTGCAATGACAGCAGCATTTCGGTGAGCATTTCGATGTAACCAGAGCGAGGGAAACTCGAAAACAAACGCCGCGACATACGAAGAGACTCGCCTTTTGATTGTAGTCATGGGCAGATGCTAGTGAGTATGTTTTACTTTTCTTTGAATTCAATTTAGATTTACTCTAATATTGCATTGCACCTCTTAAAAAAACAGTTTCGAAAGGTGAATAAAATATCGTGGGGGTGAGAAAATGTTGAAAATACTTTCTAAGGCACAAATAAAAAATCCATGAGTAAGATAAAAACGAAAAAAAAGAAAATTAAACAAGCTCACACCACGAATACCGTTGACAAAAATCAACCAAAATAAACTGAAAGAAATCATGCAGCGGACCAGAGAAGTTAAGATGCGGTACGGAAAGCGGAGAGCAAAAGGCGGATTGCATGCTAGGAGCTACGGAGCGCCCTTGGTAAGGAGTTAGGCGAGTACCTGTAGGGGAGAATATCAGCAGTTAATGTGCCTCACACGGCCATACGTAATGTGCCTCACACGGCCATACGTAATGTGCCTCAAAGGTCATACGGCGTCAAGCACCGAAACCTGAACACAATTTAGTTCCGCCTGGTCTTGTTGCAATTTACTACGCAAAGTTTAAGCTGGTGAGATTTTAGAGCATGATCTTCTACAGCAATACAAAGATTGTATTGTGAAAAGAGACGGCCGAGAAATTTTTTAGTGCGAAAGTGAGAGAATAATTTGTAACAATTAATGAAGAACCTCAGTTTTTGTGAGTAGTAACACAAGGACACTAAATGCCGGATAATTAAGAACTACGTTAGGCCAGGAAAAAATATAGAGCGCTAATATAATATAATAATAACGGTTTCAGCGTTTACTAGGCCTTAGGCCTGTCGCCGATTCTTAACATCGCAGAAAATCCACAGCTTTTTGCGGTCTCGAACTCGCAACTCACTGCTACAATTCTGCTGTGCTTAACCGCCCGGCCTCCTCGCCGATTCTGACCAGAAACTGGCGCACAGAGCTGGGATCGAACCCGCGCCTCTCTGCACCAATCTTGGTACTCTGAACTTCAACCACTGGGCCACCCTGGGCCCAATACAATAAGCGAGCCTGTATGGCTTCAAAAATATCTAAGTGATATTCAATTCGTCAGCTCTTGACTCACATTGGAATATAACTCACAAATGGAGATTAAAATTTATCTGTTACTGGTAATCGGTAGAGATATATATGATTGATCAAAAAATTTAGAAGTGGATTCGAAAGCTGCAAGTTTTTGAGACATAAAGAGCACCAGGAACAGATAAGTAAAGTGAAGCCCACGTTAAGTAGAGATTTAGTAGCGACACTCAAATTTTTTCGAATTGCAGGCAAACAGTGAATACTATGCACAGCAGTGTATACTTGACACTGCAGTATAAACTGTGCATAAAGAAATAAAATAATCTTACACTTAGTTTATAACTTTTTCAACTATTCCTGTAGAAATAAATTATGATTTTGGAAATCCGTTTCAAGGAATGCTACCAAATTCAAAACCATTCGACTCTCATTAAAGAATGAACTTTTAGAAGCAAAGACTTTGAATACAGAATTAAAACTACAACGAAGCAAATAATTTAACGAAACTACTCAAATTTCAAATGAGACTACAGAAATCATGCGCTTTAGCATGCGTATTAACGAGCGACAAAGATTATACTGTCCACTAGGGCCGTGACTTAGTTTCATCAGCTACCTCCCGAATATATTTGTTTCGTTAATATATAAAATATATAGGCAACCATAAAATAGGCAGAAACTGGGCCTATTATGAGGAAATATACCGCACAATTGCTCCTTTTTAAAGGGGTTTTCGCATAATATAAGTGGGTAACAATTAATGAAAAATTAACAACCCTTAAATTATTTTTCCTCCTTGAAGCTCCACGTCATTAAAAGTGCTAATATTATATGACCACGGAACCTATTAATGTATAAAAAAAAGAATAGCCTAGCAAATTTTAGCAATTTCCATTAATTCCATATGGCTAATTGAAAATTCAAGGCAGGATCTACGTTAGCATCTGCACGCAGAAAGTTTGAGGCGGAGACCAGTTCATGTTGCTTGACCCTAACCCAAATCGATCGCTACAACAAAAAACATTTAATTCATTAAAAGCTTTAAAATTTGTATTGATAGAACGACTGAAAAAATTCTGTCAATTGTTGATTTAGACTGTTCTAATTATAAAAATGGATTTCGAGCCCGTCGGAAGCAGAAATTTTCTACAATATCATTCATCATGAAATTCCTCTCAAAAGTCAAGATCACGAACACACTTCATATATTGACTATCGAGACATATTACTAGACCAGAATATAAGTTACATTATTGATAAAATAACAATCATATGAAATTATCTAACAATAACTCAAGATCATTCCTGACCATTCCACATGCGATTCGTGCACCACAAACAGCCCAACAAATAAAGTTGCAAAATGCCCTCGATTACCACGAGATTTAAATGCACAAAAGAAAACATCAATAATTACGGAAAAAATGTCGCTAAATAAATAAAATTTGATTGTAACGACTGAAGAAAAATCACAAGAGAAATGATTTCAAGTGAAATATCTACGGACTAACAATGTCATCAGCTAAGAAAGCCAAAAATTTCCACAAATAAAATCAGAGATTTGTCACAATACAGTTCTTTACTACTACTGAGCTAAAACGAACACTAACAAAAATTTTAAACTTGAATCAGTAGCAATTTCTGACGCTTACTTCTACGCTACATCACAAAATCTAAATTTTCTAGCTTCAACTACAATAATGAAGTGATACTAATTTTTATCTCTATAGAACTTCAGACAGAATTGCTTGTAATGGCTCGACAAACATCGGCGAGAGCGACGACTTTCATGCCATCGACATTAACATGATTCATGCGGCCAAAACATTAAACTTGATCATCAGTTTTTCAAACGACAATGAGCTTCAGACTGCCATAGAAAACTTCACCAGGTTTATTAAGACTTTTTAATAGATTTCCGTTTACTTTGAAAAAGGGGTAATCAGATTTGAATAAGCGTCACTGATTTGAATTTCGATCTTCTGTATTGAGAGTAATTTAAATTGAACATTCTTTAGAGATCCGAAATACGTTAAAACTATTCGTTGAGAAGTTGAATCAAGTTCTAGAGCTTGAACAGTGAATTGATCGTCGGTTCTTAAAATATAAGGTGCCTAGTAAATAAAAAGAATTTTAATGCAATCTTCTTACACAGCTTAGCACCTGAACGAATTTCAGTTACAACGGTTCAAAACTGCGGCTTAGAATTCATTATCGAACTTGGCAGCAATATAGCACATACGTTACGATGTAAAATAGAACTATTCAGGAGAATATCACATTCGTAAAAACCTCTAGGGCTATGAATTATAACCCCAACAGTGCGTGATATTAGTTAAATTTCATTAGATTCGAAAACGCCTGAAACAGAGCTAGGGTACGGTACCTTGAAGTAGCGTCTTGTTATTTAATTATATAAGCCGTAAACTCGTAGCCTCTGTCGGCAGTGCAGGTAAGCAGATGAAGGAGCGGAGTTTTGTTCGTATTTACCAAGTACTAACTAACTAATTTACTAACAGTGACTAACGTTACTGTATTCAAATGAATAAAAATACCTTAACTTAATCGAAGTTTGAGAGCCATCAGGACAGCTGCGACACTCACCTCCTCGACCGTATATCTTCCATGAGCATCTCGTATGGCGTAAGAGTGTATTCCAGAGGCGTCTTAGAGTAGTTAACTTTCTTGAGTTTGACGCCTTCCCGCAACTGCAACATCACTTGCTTCCACAGCACAGCCTGCAAGGTATCAATAATTAGCGTTACCGGGCTAAGTATTTCACATTCAAAACATTAAATAACATCAGAATAATCTTCGACTGAAGAAATAAAGATATTCCAAAGAAAGAACCACTGACGCTAAACTAGCAGAAAGAGCATTGCTTGGTTGGGGAATCGCAAGTAAAATGAAACAAGAAATTGAGAGAAACATCACATATAATTACCAACGATTTAAACGAGAAAAATATTGTCAATTCCTCCCAAAAAGCTAACGACGCTGAAAATGATTTAATAATATTGTGTCAAAAAACAGAGGTCTCGGGCAGCTTAACAAAATATATGTGATTCGTCTCTCTGCTACAGAAAAGTTGATACCAAAGCAAAATCTCTGTAACGTGGGCCCGGAAATTCTACACCGCATGAATTCTACATTTCACCATGACTAATTCACACAGATTTGCAGGTCTTCCAAATTTGATAATGAAGACCTGATAAGTTTCATTACTATAAGAATTATCGATGACTTTCAGACAATGGAACAACACCGTGACATATACATTAGCACTGTGTGGTGTTAACCCAGTCATGGTGCTGCAGCTGGTCCAGGTCGTGCTGTAGGAGAGCAGCTATCATGTCTATTGTACCAACATGCAGGGCATAATGCTGACCCAGTCATGGTGCTGCAGCTGGTCCAGGTCGTGCTGTGAGGAGAGCAGGTCGCTGGTGAGGCTGAGGTAGCTGCTGCCCTCCGCCACGGTCGCCAGGAACAACTGCAGGTCTTGCGCCTCCGTCACGAACGCCCGCATCACCGCGCGGTAGTGGTCGCTCGGCACGCACTCTGTGCAACCAACACACGAATGTCAAAAAATCACATTCCTCACAAAACAATTATGTGATGAAGATGAATATCAACACCGGGATATAAAATTAAATTTTTAGAGCACCCGTTGGTTGTTTTACAATCTGGCACAAACAGTGCATAGAAAAATTGAAATAAATTACCTGTTGATAGGAGAAATAGTATAGTAAATAATAATTAGAAATCACCAATCCCCTTTCTCATCAGTCATTGGCAATAGAAAATTACTTTTCTTGAATTTTATGCCTATTTAATTTAATAACAATATAACTAGAAACGAACATTTTTGGTCATTATTTATTCAACTTAAAGAATTATTGCCTACTGAGAATCATCTAATTTATTTTTATTAATATGCAGAACAAAACGGTTACGAGGACACTCGCATCGAAAAAATCTCGGGCAACAACGAGATTTTTTGATGGAGATCAAAACTAGTTAATTATATCCATATTTAAACCTTTCAGACTAATAATCCAGAATAGCAATAAGTTGGAAAAGTTTGACGCACGGAAGTTCGGCTTTGTCACGCTAAAGTGTCCGGATAAAGCCCTGATGCATATTAAAAAGTGCATTTATAGGAAGCGCCGTATTCCTGCCAGAAAACCAATGTTCTTAGAAATTTCGTATGATATACATACCATTCTTCAGGCAAATCTGCCGTCATGATAAAGAATAGAAGAATGAAGCGCGTCAGTTCTATGTCACCTCTTTTATCAGTGGGTGAAGCGGAGGTTCTGGTAGGGGACGTCTTGGATGAAGACTGTGTGGGGACGGAGGATGGGGACGTGGATGAGAACTTTTTGGATGCGGCGCCGCTAATGGACGACGAGCTGAACTGCGGCAGCAATCTCTTCTCGCATTCCTGTAGGGAGATTTTCGCTTAGAATTTTCTGAAGTAAATACAATTTTTTTCAATTATTGACGAAATATGGTGTTTAACAGTTTCTTTATTGCCCCGGGACAGCAAGTAATCGTTGAGCGCAACCGAGACTCGGAATATTTGAAAAATTAAATCTGAAAATAACTATTTTCCAATCGCAACAAGCACTTCGGACTTCGAGCCCGAACTAGTTCGGGCACTAGTTCGGGTCCTTCAGTCCTGATCGCTCTACTGACTGATATTGATTGCCTTATGTATATATATAAATAAATTCTCAACCATTGAGACAAGGTCCGACCCAAAACTGCCTCTTGTCCTAGGGGACAAGGACCAATTGTTCCTATCTATAAGGGAACCCGACTTTAAAGTTCAAATAGTTTTTTCTTAAACGCAATTTTATCATAAACGTCTGCATTAACCCCCATCCATATTGTTCACGAGATCATTTTCACCTTTATTCATCTTAAATGTTTAAGAAATCTTTGCCCGCCCACACAATTTGATCAAAGGGTCAAGAGAATTAGGCAGGCAGCTCGAGACTCACGTGGACGATGTCGGTGAGGGTAAAGGTGCGCCCGAGGTCTCGCTCGATACCCTCGTCATCCGCTTCGGGCTCGTTGTCTGCACAAACCAAGCATCAATAAATCTAGGAGTTCTTTAATTGAGTCATCGAAAAACAGAGGATAGAAAAAAAAATTATTTTTGGCCCAATAAAAATTCACCAGTAACAAAACGAAACGGTTCCTGGAATAGATATGCATCTAGAAAATATTAACTGTCACAGTGATTTGAGCTAACGAAAAGATTGAAATACAGATATAGGCATCATTTACGCATGTAGGTGGTCGAAGAAAAAGAATAACGCTTTCTCAAACATTAAAAATGAGAGTAAAAAATAAAATTCTTATAAGACAAGCGACAATAACAGAAGGGTAAAGCCTGATATAATATCAATAACAAAGAATTTTAACTTTGGAATGAAAGATCGCGAATCGAAAAAATAAGATTGAATCGTATAGCCAATCCAGGACACCGGAAGGAACAATTGGTTAGAGCTTCCCAACCTCGACACAGTTCACGACCAATTAGCGGTCTTCTTGCGCCCTGCATGGCATGTATACTGCTAATGCGTAGAGCATATCACGTACACCATCCACATTTGATGCTAATTAATAATGAACCGTGTATCTCAACAACACTTGGTAATTATTTTTCCTCACGCGTTTAATGTCCGGGATTGAGTTTATTGCGCCACTCTTCAACATTTCCCTTGCTATTGGTCAACACACAGAAACAGGTTTCGTACGCACACAACAGGTCATTAGCACGCTCACTCAATTAAAATTTCACAATTACAATCATGAATGACGTAAGCCTAAACTAAATTAAAGGTTTAAAACTCGTTCCCAGATCACATTTATGTGAACAGAAACTCGTATAAGCCGCATAAACGATGCTGCAGACGCCATCACCTCGAAGAGGTCACGGTACGTAGTGGTTAGACGTTCTCACGAAGAGCACGGGGGCAGATTGCCGTGTAATTAGCCAGGGCGACACGGTGCGTCTCGAATTCCCGATTGAACGTAAAAACTGGGGTCGCGGCAACGGTCGAGACGTCATGCAGCACATCTCAGCGCAGCGACAAAGAAACACGTCACCGCTCAGGCGTCCTGATACACACGAGCGACCGAGGAAGACGTGCCACGTCAGCCTTACGAGCCAAACTTTAAAAACGACCTAAAATTTGCGTAGATAAATTATTTGGAATTTAGGCAGCATGTGACTCAACAATTTAGACGCATACACCGTGTATTCTAGTTCTCAGTTTGATAAGTGATCGCAGATTGTGAAACAAGACATGGCTGTATCAAATCACTTCATTGCAAAATGTAACACATCTAAAGTCCTCTCCTGACAATTTTCCACAACTGCAGTTATAATAAAAATTCCGCTTTTCATTCAATAAAAGAACTTACTTAAATTTTGGAAAAAATCATGAAAACAATAAATGACAGGAAATTTTAAAAATAAACATCGAACTCCATGATGATGAGGTGAATGATGCCTAGGAAAAATATACGGTAAAAACCGTACGTGTAATAGAATCCGTCAAGGAAACACCCAGACCAAAGGTCCAAAACAGACCTGCTGGAAAAATAAAATGCATATGCTTATTCGCGAGGAACACAAGGTTAATCCACTAGTCGTCGTTTAGTGGCTGGAATTATTACAACGATGTGTGCCCGTGGCAGAGATAAGGAGAGACGGGAGAAGCAACGATTCCGGACATGGCGGATGAGGAGACGCCAACCGACGATGCGTATAAGAAATTCTAAGCAAAATAAAGAGTTTCTCAGCAGAAAGTTTGTTTGTTAAGGACCCGCACAGACGAGAAAAAATAATGTACACCAGTTTTTGTAACTAATGACCAATTTAACTTGAATATTACAAATCAATTCTGTAATAACTTTTTGAGCGCGTCAAAACTACAAATAACGAACTCAAGCGAAATTAGGGAAAGTAAAACTGCTTACGAATGTAGGGAAGACCGGAGAAGAGCTAACCAGTACAGCAGCGCAAGGATGAGGGCAACAAGTAAAGACGGTACCGACGAATGCAGTGAGATGGATAGAGGAGTCCGATAATAGGGGTAACTGGTGTAGAAGTGTCATGCATGGTATTTTAGTGAAGAAGAGTTTGAGCAACTAGCTAGGAGTCCAAATATTGGTGCGGTAACGACAACGGTAGCCGATCATTGGATGGTAATAGCGGCTTTAGAAGGGTATACTGAGGGTGGAAACAGCAGTTATGGAGAGGTCCGAGGCTCTATAGGACAGAGAAACGAGACGCAGAGCTCCCGCAACACGCAGCGACGCGTTTGCTCAGGACGCATCTTAACGCCTTAATATATAGCAAAATTTGCATTGTTCACAAATTCTGCGCCTGCCTGCAACACGACCCACTGATGCCTCAAAGAGTGAGAACGATGCCTCAGCCTGCAATACCGCAGAGTTACAAAGGTCAAGCCGGCGACGGCAGTTCAGTGACAGATCAGTTCTCATCACAGGACATTATTAACTCTAAAGATCAGTTATCAACGTTATTAACTTGACAGCGAATTATGTCTGAGAATGTGCTTTCATGAAATTGACCGAAAATGAAATACGAATTATTTAGAGGGTGGAAGTTAAGGAGAAATAGTTACTTGAAAAGACGTTTGTTCTTACAACAAATGAGTTCATTGCAAATTGCAATAGCAAGCAGTTGCTTCGAAAAGCAAGCATTTACATCGGGTAGGAATGTTCGCTTTAAGCATCGAACTAACAGTTGCTTCAAGATTACGCGATTTCTAGTGGAATCGTACTAAATGCTTTCGACATTAAATGCACAAAAACTGAATTTGATTCAGTCCAGTGCAATGAGAATCATCCTTGGGGCACGTAACACATCTCCTATTACTTCCTTAGAAATTGAAGCCCACATACCCCCACTGAAGAGTTGCCTCATCAAATAAGCAGTTAATTCTCAGGTCCCGTAATTTTTATTAAGGAGCTAAAACAAGAAGTAGGTGCATGAGCAGGCGAGACAAGCGCACACACGCAAAAACATCAACCGCAGGATGCACATGCAGCGCCTCTTCAAACAATGGATCTGCCTCTTTCGTCGCATCACCGGAAACTGATCCGTGCGCGTTGTCACAGGCATGACTTCTATATGGCGCATTTCCATTCACATCTTCCTGAAATATCGTACATAAACAAAAATATTCACAATATGTAGCTGGACGTATAACCAACATCTTTGAGGAATAAAAACGGGTTCATCTGAACGAAAAATGCGTTTGTCTGGAAAATAACGCGCCATTGATGTAGGTTCTTCGCGTTTATTAACTACCAGACGGCACCTATAAAGTGATGAAACACGGAATTTAATGAAAAATGTTAATGCAAATATTCTTCTAGCTACGCAGTACGCACGTTCTTGAAACTCATTCAAAAATAAACTCGGAATAATCAACGTTTTAATGTGTTTATGGCGCGTTAAAATTCAGAAATTTGATTAAAAATTATGATATTTAAAGGGGAATACAAAACGAAAGGTACAGATAGAGGAAGGGCATTAGAAAAGTTAAAAAAAACTATAAAACGTAAACACGCTTTGCCGCCGTCGAACATTCAATCATTTGGGGTGATAAGTGCATAATCCTTGAATAAAAATCGAGATAATTTTTCCTTACAAATTTTGTGCTAGCCGTGATATTTTCACTTCGCAGCGCCATGCCCCAATAATTTATGGGATGAGATAGCATTATAATAAAATCATTTAAATAACATCGAGGCGACATATCACAAAAATTAAACCAACCCTATTTCGTTACGCCTTGAATCGAATTTTTCCAAACAGAGATATTTTGCTTCAAGAATTGCGTCAGCGCCACAAATGTCACGAAGTTGCAGTAATTTTATCACCCCGGTCACGTCATGATTTCTATTCATACTTTATGATAATTCAAAGAACAATGGGGACTGCACAATGCGACAACACAAGTTTATGGTGAGAAGTCGTACACCATTCCTGTCTTTGCTCTTTCATAAAGTTAACACGAGGAAATAACGAGGTCAGTATAACACTTCTGTTTCAAAGCGGAAATGGGAAGGGAAATTGAACTTAGAATTTTAAAAATCACAAGTAGAAATTATTTGCTAATATTCAAGGCTACATGAAATCGTGTACATGTACTAGTGATGAGCAAGCCCATTTTAAGGTGGACTGTTCCAAAATATATAGCGAGCTTGTCATTTTCACAGGCGCGATTGCGTTACTTGCAGTTAAGCAGGTTGCTGGACAGGCAGGTTGCCGTGATTGTGTCCCAAAAAGTAATTCTAAATTTATCACCTTCATCCTAATTCATCAAGTCCACATAAACGCCTTATCTCTTTGTTTTCGTATACACATTAACCCCCGTCGTTATTTATACTATTCGTATATTAAGTCTTGATATCTAGATTTCTCGTTAATCGACATACAGTGAATTCATTAAAGTTGCTCTTACGTCAACTAAACAAAATAATTGATATTTCATGCAAGTACAAGCAAAAAAAGTAATAGCAAATTAGAAGTGCATTTGACGGACGAATCATACGATTTTGCAATCGTGTAGACAAAACCGATCCACGTCATAAATCATTCGAAAACTTTCTCTCCGAACAGAATCTACAAATATCTACAGTTAAATTCTATCGATACTAACCAAAATGGATAATCTCGTAGGGAACTGAGAGCAGGCGCATTTTCTGCCTAAAATTTAAATTACTTTGGTGGTAAGAAGAAAATTGATCGTCATGACTATATTGCACTGATGCTTGCCAACAATCGTTGTTTCCCGCAGTTGGTTGTTATTTGTTATCAGAATAAGGAGACGTAGATCTTACAAAACATTACTTGCTAGCAGCACCCAAGCACTTGCGAAATGAAGTTTCTTACTTGCGCATGTACAGTTTCATGCCAAGAGAGGTCGGTGACGAAACAAATTACGAGTCATTTTCGGTTTGCGATTTCATTCCGCGCATGGGACCGAGGCAAGGGTTCCACCGCCCTTGGGTAGGTTGACGTTCATTTTT